TGGTCTGAGCTATAAACTTCATACTTGAAATTTCCCCAGAACCTGAGGACGGAAGAGACAGCAGATACTGCTTTCTGCTAGTTTACAGCAATAGGCCAAAGCTATCCCAAGCTTCTTGTAACAGGCATCCAGCATTTCAGCTGAGGTCAAATTCTGATATAAATGCCCATATGATGGATTGAGATGCCCTAAGAAACTTAATTTTGATAACTGAGTCTGCACTGTGAGGCTAGAAAAAAGTGCAGCAAGATAGATGGAAAAAGAGTGAGATTAGAGAAATGAAATATGAATTTTTGTTTCTAGCTAGGAAAACTTTTACAAACTTTGCAATATCCTATGCCTGATGAAGGGTGCCTGTGCCCGAAAGCCTGCAAATAAAGAATTTTTTTTGCAAATACCTAGTTGGTTTAATAAAAGGTATCACCTCTGCCATGAGTTCTGACTCCTACTACAGAAAAGATGTTGTTTTCTCTTTTACACAATGACAATAATGGTATAAGGAAACTATATGGGCATAGTAGGTTCCAAATATTGTGTTTACTCCATGTACACAACATGCAAGAGCTATTTACACCAATACACACTGCTACTCCGGCTAAGACAGCACACCAAGTGTGCACCACCAGAGGGCACACATGTTACTTAAAGGGATATCTCCTATTTTTATAGACTTCAGTGAAGAGAAAACAGAAAAGACATACTGAGTGCAGGGAGTCCTTTTGTTTTACTTAGAAACTGTTTGTGGCAACATTTATTATGCCATAAAAATTGTTATGAGTTCCCTGAACTTTAATGTTATTTTAATATTTTGGAGTTGGTAGATATTTTCAAAGCTTGACTTGATTATCCTAGCCAGGCAAAACTCATTAATGTCAGTGGGAATTACACGGCTAAATTCTTTCAGACACATGCACACAACAAACACTTTGAAATATTATCCTACATTATTTACATGCTTATATTGATACTGTCGTCATGGCATACAGAAGAAACGTATTTTCAAAGGCTTTTATCTCTATTACAATGCTAAAGGCTGCAGAGTGTTGAGATTTCTGTGTTCTGCTTTATTTTTTGTATTAGAGTTAAATGAAAATTTGGGACTTCTGATGAAAACTTTTGTGAAAAATTCATATATATATTCCCATTGCAATTCAAATATTTTATTGACAGTGAGAATGCCTCATTGAAAAAATGGGATGCATTTGTGACTTGCATTTTTGCAAAACACTCGTCATGTTTTTTCACTGAAGTTCAAAATTCCAAAGGAATCGTTTTTAAATAATCAAAATTAAAATGTTATTTATATTTCTAAAAGATCCAACCAGCTCTATTTGCATCATGAGAGCATGTACAGCTCTTAACTGAAATAGGGGGCTGTTCAGCTGGGCATTACACGAGCTTCCCCCTTTCCTAAGTTGATTCCAATCGAAAAAGACAAAAGAAACAAAGGCAGGGAGAAAAGAAAGGTTATTCTCTGCATTTACACATGGAGGATCGATGCACAGAAATTAAATGATTTACTCCAGGTGATAAAGTGGATTTGTGGAGTAGCTGGAACCTCCACTTCCTTAGTGATAGGCTGGTGCTATAACCACAAGACCATACTCCACTTCTAATGCACAAGGCGGCTTAAAGTGCTCAAGAATTTTAAATTCTCCATGTTCGTAGATTTTAACCACTTCCTGTTCAGACATGTTAAGCACTGCAAAATTTGACTCTGGCAGGGGACGCTTGCCTGTGCAACCTCGTGCTCATGTGTGCACGCACATAATTTGTCACTGCAAGAATTACACTCTGATCTGCAAATATAGCTTGCAACTTTCACAAAGCTTCTAGCCCCCAAATCCTACACTGGTCTATAGTTCCCAGTCTCAAGGAAAAGACAGGTGCTGAGCTGCCGCTGATTGAATATGCAATACACAATTAAATATATGCCAAATGCACAGGGAATTCTCCCCAGCCCCTATTTTGGACGTGAAATAGGCAGATTTGATTTAGACTGGAAAGCAGGTTCTTCTTGAAATAGTGTTTGCAGGCTAAAAGGCCTGCTGTGGTTGCACTGTATCAGGTGGGAGGACAGGTCTCAAGAACAGCCAGGGGAAAGCTCTTTAATCCTCTAACATCCATCTTCCTGCCCTACCTGAGACCAAGGCAACTCGGCGCACTAAATGTCACCACAACTGGCCCAGTCTCTAGTTGCTAAGAAAAAAAGCTGGACACTGTCACTTACCCCCATCCAGCTCCCTCCACTGTCAGGATTTGTATAGCTTTATAACTCCCTAGTGTATACAAGCCATTCTCCTGTCATGCAGAAAACACTAGTGCTTCAAGCACAGGTGAAGCGCAGAATAAAGGCTGCTCTCTCTAATGAGGCAGCTGGAGCCCGGTAAGAGGGTGCGCTTGAGAAACAAGAGAGAGGGAGAGAAGGGTGGGAGGGAAGAGGTTTTGTTATTCAGTCCACAGTTCGAGTTAATCTGTATTGAGATTGGCGTTTGCCGCTCAGTATTGCCAGGCAGCTGATGGGCAGAGGAACAGGTGACTGGAGTGGTCCAAGCCATAACAATGAACTGGGGCTGAGGCAGGGGGAAGAGGGCAGAGAAGTCAGCCGGGAGGAGGAAGTGGGGTTGGGTGTGCCATCGAAGCAGATGCTGAGCCTCCATCTCCTGGAGCTCTCAGGCTAACGGGTTATCAACCGAGCAAGGCTTGGGGAGGTTTCAGTTTTGTTCTGTGTTCTCATATTGGTTTAATTAGGAGCAAGCCTTTCTGTTTCTGACCAGCAGGGATGTTGCCAGCCCCTTTTCAAATCGCTGGAGGAGCTGCTGTTTCCAGGAAGACAGTTTGGGATTGAGCAGGCCCAGTGTATAAAGTAAAGGTTCACAAATATCTACATGCACAATTTCTGAAGTGCCTTTTCCTGTGTATGTTAAAACACCAGTGAAACAGAAAGGTATCATTCTCCCTCTTCACAGTGCAGTACCAATGAAACTTCTCCCCAGAGATTTAAAAGTAAACTGCAATGACTCCTGTTTCAAATGATCTTCATGATCAAACTTCTTAGAAACTAAGGAAAACAGCTAGGCTAACAGGATGGACTCCTGTAAGCGTAAGGAGGCAAAGAAGAGAAGCCCTTTGCTGAGCCCACCCAGCTGCGACTGGGATCCACGGCTAGAACAAAGACTGTAATGGAGGCTAAAACGGGGCACAGAGACTTGTGCAGTGTTTTAATTTCTGGAGACTTGGGTGCAAAAATCTCAAATCACACATGCAATTTGCTTCGACTCCTCCTAGCCCCTTTGGTGCCACAGCCAACATGAAGGCATCTCAAAACCACGAGTCAGCCCCTCCCTCCCCCATGTGACTGTCTTAAACATGCTGAGATTAAGAATAACAACAACATGCTTCGGGTTGTTTTTAATCTGCCTTCTAGATTTTTTAATAGTTAGGCCATACCTGGGCCATGTTTTCAACCTTTTCTCCAGAACCAGAAGAATTGGAAACACCTTTTTATAATCCAAAAGCGGAGCGCTTCCGATATTTTCTGTATGCCAGGAACAGTGGTTTTGGGGGAAATTCTAAATATCACAAGACTCGTGATAGAGTCACGAGAGATTGCAAGTGCATTGGTCATTCGGCACTTGACACAACCATCCAAACTGCTGGTCTCTAATAACAGCCAGCCAGCACTCGGATGGCAGCTGGTTAGGAATTTTTTTAATGAAAAATTTCTTTTTTCATTGGGAATTGCCCATTTGTTGAAACTAAACCTGTTTTCCAGAACAAGGCCAATGTTGACTAATTTCCCATTCAGGAAAAGCACTGGAAAAAAGTTTTGCTATTACTAACACTTTCAAGACTTTTTAAATGAAAAAGTTCTGGGTTTAGTTCAAAATGATGTTGTAATTCAGTCTCAGCTAATTTACGGTGAACTATAAAAAGTTTTAATTTAAAACAAATTGAAATATTTTTAAAATTATTGAATGAAAATGTGTTGATTGACCTGGTCTGATTTTTCCCCCATGTTTTTAATTTGCAGAAAGTTTCAATATTTGGATTTTTTCATCCCAATTTGGGATGGGGAAAAATATCGAAATCTTGAAAACTGTCATGGGATGGGATCATTCTTTCCTGCCAGTTCAAATAATAGGATACTCAGTTTATTGAGAGGACGTGGGAGCTTTTACACTAGTACAACTTGGAGATGGTCACAGATGACCCAAATTTTTGTTTTCTGGTCTTTCCAAAAGCCAGCATGTCTAGCCATGTGATGGCCCCTTGTGCTTTGGTGATGTTGAGTTAACACAGAGTGAAAGGCACCACTTACTGAATGGCCAATAATATCTCCAGCAATACAGCTTCCACTAGCATCCCCTGGAAGTGCTGGTTTCACTGCTGACAGACTCTGGGAATTCAGTGCACTGTAGCACCAGTGGGACACTGGATACAAGGGCAAGATGCAACATCTACGTCAGTGCCTGCATCACCACCTACGGCTGGGAGGCTTCAAATCTGAACTCTTACAACAGTCAAGGATCTTGGAGATGGAGATAGTCATCACAAGAGTACAAGAGGACAGATCCTGACTCTATTAAAGTCAATATTTGGCGCTACTTCACTGCCAGGGCGGCTAGGATCTGGAACCAGCTTCTAAGAGAAGTGGTGCTGGCTCCTACCCTGAGGGTCTTTAAGAGGAGGCTGGATGTACACCTTGCTGGGGTCGTTTGACCCCAGTACTATTTCCTGCCATGGCAAGTGGTTGGACTTGATGATCTGCTCAGGTCCCTTCCGACCCTAGAAACTATGAAACTATAATGACAAGAGCCCCTGTGAACCCAACAGAAGCAAGACGTGAACCTAAGTAACGGGTTGCGTTTGTATAGCTGAAGTCCTAGACCATATATATGGATGAGATACCTTTTATGCACATTTCAAGGTTTCGCTGAAACAGTAACATGCCAGATAGACAACTGGATGTACACGGACATACACGTGTCCTTCCTTACCTGGATCCATTCATGTGATCATACTCCCTCTTGACATTGACCCGGACTGGCTGATTGATCCACTCCTGCTGGGGAGGTAAAGGGTTGATTTTGTGCGGCTGGCCATAGTCAGGGTTCCCTGAGGCTGTCATGTCCGCCTTGGGGAGGTGAGCGGCAGCACCGTACGTGGAGTCAAAGAGGGATTGGTCGTCACTCACCACCGACAGAGCCTCCTGAGGAGAAAAAACAAGAGCCCAGCTTCATGACTAAACTGGCAACTCCACTCACGTTCTCCCTTTGAGCTGGCGAGCAGCTGTGCGGGCCCACAGCTGCCTGGCCCTGCCTGAAAGTGACATCTGCCACGATCGCAGATTGAATCAGATGCGCCGGGCTCCATCAACCCTTATGCAAAACTGGTGGATTCTTTTTCTGGCGTCTGATCTGCGTGGGGCAAGAGCTGAAGTTAACAGGATGCCCGGTGAAGTAGTAAAGGTAGCTGCTACCCACTTTGCTGACTGCTATAACCGATCTGTGATAAGTGTTCTCACCTGCCGTCTTACATCCCCAGTTACCTGCCCACCTGACTATCTATTCGTACTCCACAAACAGCTGAAAGACCCAGACAGGATAGCTCAATTTTGTCAACTGAATGTGTACATCATTTTTATATACCTTTTTCAAAAGGTTTTTTTGCAGTGCTTATACTTTGCGGTTACTGCTGAAGGACTTGCATTCAGGGCTGGTCAGAGTTATGATGTTTGCGGTGGGATAAAATATGTGTTACTTTACACTCAATGAGAATCGTTTATTTATTTTGTGGGAAATGTTAGACTTATGAAGTGACAAGCTATTCGTTTCTGGAAATGGGAATAACAGGTGATTATCCCCCTTTTTTGTGGCGAAATTCAAAATTTTGACACGGTTTTCAAGCCTCAGTTTGCTTGAATTGGTGTGCTTGGGTTTTGCAACTGGCAAAGGCCAAGCTTATAAAGGCTTGGGCAGACCCCAGTCTTATTCCAAGCACCTCTGACAAGATATATACCTTCTTTATGTAGCTAAGTTAACCATAGAGGTCACAACTGTCATCTTGACTGAATACCCAATAACTGGACTGGGGTGCTTCCAACTTCAAGCGTGAGCAACATTAGCATACGCTAATGAGTCATGTCTCTAAAGCTGCAGCCATAAGAGGCCTGTCTCCTTTGTGGACTGAACACTGAGAAGCCCTGTAACCCATACTCAGCAGTGGGTCATACATGCAATACTTCACTTTGCTTAAAATGCTGGCATGCTGTCAGACGAAACGCTAGGCCCAGCATTGGTTAGGCCTGTAGACAGTATCTAAGCTCCCAATTCCCAGACCAAGGGCTCAAAATTCATGGAAGGTTCCAAAAAGTAAGAAGCTTATAAAATATCAGCATTCAAAATAAATTCTAGAGGTTTTTTTCGCATTAGACAGTCATTGGATAACAACCAGAAATAACTCTGGGAGCAGGGAGTCACTGACCCCCCTCAAACTCCCACCACTCGTTTGCTGAGAGTGCCTTCACCAAAGTGCTTGCTTGTCTGGTGGCCCCAAACTCTTCTAGTCTTGGCTGTGCAGCGGTTCACCTCCAGAAAGGCCCTTGCCTAGCCTGTTTGAGAGCATGCTGGGCAGTATACTTTGCTGGGAAGCAGGAAATATAGGTTTGAATCCCCTCATGCTGAAAAGGGCCTATGACCCAGGTCTCCTTTCTGGTTGTGTACTGTAACCAGTAGGCCAGAGGTAGCCAACCTGTGGCATGGGTGACAGGTGGCACAGCGAGCCTCTGTATGTGAGAGATGGTGGGCATGGGGGGGCAGGCAACATAGTAGAAGTTGGGCAAGAAGCAGAAGGTCAGGCAGAGGAAGGGGATGGGAGTGGCATCTGGGCAGGGTACAGAGCTAATTTGTGGCATGCCTGCCAGAAAGGTTGACCCCCAACCCACTAGGTGATAATACAAGAGATGAACACTGGTTTCACACAAACCAGGAGGTGCCTACCCTTACAAGCAGGTCTAGGAGCTCTGGATCACAAATGAATGGAAATGCCAAATGTGACGCCTGGGCCATGTTCACCTCTATGCTCTGTGTTTCTTATTGGCTGCAGCTGAGCTCTCCAAATCATTCTTTGGAGGTGCCTAATTGCCCCATTCTGTTTCCAGAGGATATAAGTGCCTTTGCCTCTCTACTGACTGTACAGCAGGGGCGGGCAATTATTTTGGGCAGAGGGCCGCTTACTGAGTTTTGGCAAGCCAGCCAGGGCTGCATAATAGGCAGCCAGGGGCAGATAAATATTAATTTTCTAAAATTTTTAAGGGCCCCGCAGGCCAGATAGAATGGCCTGGCAGGCCGCATCCAGCCCGTGGGCTGCATTTTGCCCACTCCTGCTGTACAGGCACCTAGACCCGTCTGTTTGGATTTTCCTTATAGGGCTGGGGCCCGATAATTTTCCAAAGCAAAGGCAGGTAGATGACTAGCCTGGATGTGTCCCTGTGTCCAAGATTCCTGGCACCAAAGCTTTAAACCAAAGGAGAAATATTGCAAGGCTCACTCTATCATCATGAGAGTCATAGTAGGATACCTCCTAGCCAAACACTTGGACCCCTCTCTGTTTACCCCACTTAGAAATGTGGCCTGCCTCAATGTTTTGCACTGATTATCATCAATGCCTTTTCCTCTGCAGATCTCAAAGTACTGCATGAAGGTGGATTAGCATTATCAGCCCAATATTCAAGTCCATCTAAGCCTGGAGTAAACTAGGATATAACTGTTAGGTCAAGGGGTATATATCCTCACAGCTCTGCCATCACCCCCTATGCAAGCTGCCTCTGAGGTCCTGCTGTCCCTAAACAACAAAAAACAGAACTTTATGTTATACCAAAGTTGCAATTATAAGAAACCTATAAAAACTCAGTTGGGGGTTGGCCAGAGTCATGGTAAGGCTCTGTCAGAAATCTCATCAGCAAAATTCAGGAATTTTGCTGGAATTAAGAGTTTAGGCACATGCACCGGTGAATGCTGTCAGCCTATATACACTACATTTTGAGAAGGCTTACAAAAACCCCGACTTCTTCTTGACACCTCCATTTTTAGGTGAAGCAAAGACCTTTCCATTCCAGTGAGGATGTGGTTATTAATCTATTATCTGCTTTGCTGAAGCTAAAGTGGTGTCAGGCAGGGATTCTGAAATGACATAGGCAGGAAGGAGCTTTTATTGACCTCTTGGCTCATCACGGCACAAAGGCTGGGACTTCCCTTTATAGCAAAAGGTGCTAGTGATGCCTGAACATTTGGGCTGCTTAATGTATAACAGTTTTGCTCTCCAGGGATTGGGATGAAGAGCTAAATTCAGCAGCTAAGAATCTGAGGGGATCTTTATGGGTGAGATGAAGGGATATTGTCTGCAGCAATGTGAACCTTAACTCTTGCTCCCCTGGGTTCAGGACCACTGTCTGCTGCATGGGCAAACACATACAATGTGTTCTGCCCCAAGTGCATTGGGCAATACAGCTGGCTCAACAAGTTTTTTCCTTACTCTGGTAAAATCTTGATTTTTCATCAAAACAGGAACAAAAATAGCCATAAACCAAAAAAGTTAATTGGGGGGGATCTGCAAGGAAAAAATCTTTAATTTGGAGGGAAAGATACTTTCTGCAGATGTTTTCATTTAGTTGAACACCAAATTTGCCAAACTGAAATAGACTGTGAAGGAAGTTTTTTTACTCAGCAAGCCAGTGCCTGAGATGAATTTGAATATCTCTTAGCCTACCTGATAGGCCTAATTGGGTCTGGCCAGTCAGGCAACCAGCCTGGTATGCTCAACATTACTGAAAGGGGCAAATGCACATAGGCAGTACCAGATGGGGAGGTCTGTTTTCTTAGTGAAGCAAGTCTGTGCATGATTCTCTTGGATGGGGACCCACCTACAGCAGTGATCAAAATGAATTACGCTTGGTAACGGTAACCTTGCATGTCTGTCTAACACACTTTACTGGTTCAGGGTATAGTTCCCCTTACCCAGACAGCACAGAAGGGAAGAAATGCAGGTGTGGCAGCTAACATCTTGGCTGCCACAGTGGGCAGTGAACCAGGAACTTGTAAAACGAAATAGCATGAACATCTACAGTTCAAGCTAAAGAAATACGGCTCTTTAGGTGTGGCTCAACAGTCACATTCCCTCTGCAGCACAGAACCTCTGACATGTTCTCATTAGCGGGTTACACCATGCAAACACCAAAACAAGTATTAGTGGGTATATAGGAGAGGAGCCAAGTGGCATGCAACCTTCCTGGTACATCTCCAGACATCTAAGGCTGGGCATAAACACAGAGGGGTGTCAAGGTGTCTTTAACTTCCATGGGCAGCAGATAGAATCTCATCTTTTACAAACCCCATTTTAAAGACCCATCTGCAACTCAGCTCATTTCTCTTGGAAGAATAAAGGACTTCAGTGACCTTAATGGGGTTTAAACCAATGGTTCACGATAGGGGGTGCCAGAGATTTAGAGTATTCCAAATAGGCAAAAAACAGAGATGTGCCTAACATGGGGCTACGTTATGTTCCTAAGAGCTAACCTGATTGAAAAGTGTTGGGCTTCAGCACAGGGTACCAGCAGGTACATTTTCCATCCTACTGAAATCTAGAGTTACATGGAGCTTGGGATAGACAGGCAACAGGGAAACAGCATTAAAGGTGCTAATGTAACCTAACAAGGCAAGCCATAGCTGCTCGAAGTCCCACCCCATGCTGTCACCTCCAGAGCTTTGTCCTTGAGCTGACCAGGCTGAGCCTGAGACAGGGGTCTTGTGTGCATTACTGTGGCATATACGTTACATTATATTGCCTCTGGGAATATGCTGGCTTCAGCTTTTCCAGGTTTTAATCACATTCTTGGCATAATGCAGCAAATCCCATCTTGCAGAACAACATAGGCAAGCTCAATTCCCTGCAAAACCCACCCCCTGCTTTCTCCAGGCAGCACATGAGCTATAGCAGAAAGCCTGTTGCTGCTGTTGCCGCTAAAATGATCCTGTGTGCAGTTGGAAAACACCTTTGAATCCTTATAATAAACAAAAATGTAATATGAGTTTTAATGATAACACCTTGTGCTCTTACAAGGCTGAGCCATAGGCCTCTTTCAGGCAAAACACCTACACCTGGTTCCCCAAGGTGTTTATGTCCCCAACTCCTATATGGGTATACCTTGGAGGA